TTTAGGGTTTAGGGTTGGCAGGGTTCATTGTTATGTCAACGAAAAACATCTGCTTATTACTTATTATACCCTCCAGCAATGAACGACTGACGTTAAGCTTTGTAAGGTTGCCGGGGCAATTAGGGGATTGCGTAGAGTTTATCTAGAGTTGCGGATCTCAGGCCAGCAAGAGACGCAATTAGGGTTTGAGTCGTGTAAGTATTTAGGGACGGGGGTCTAGACCCCAGACCCCATCCCCTACGGATGCATTAGGATTTAGGGTTCAGGTTTTACGTCTTGGAATTTGGGGTACGTAACAGTAATTGTTGTACAGGTTTTGGGATCAGTTTATGAAAAGTAGGTACTTGGACCCTGAGGGTATAGGGGAACGGGGCCTTGGATTCTTTGCAACCCTAAACCTCAAACCAAAAGCCTTAAACCCTAAACCCTAGTTAAACCTTGAACCCTCGGCCTAAACCTTAAACCCTAAAGACAAACTTGACCTTAAACCCTAACCATTAACCCTAACCTCACGCCAGGGCAATGGTTGGTGATTTTGGGAACAGCACAAGTTGTTCCCTACATTTCCCTTTAGAGACCCCATAAACGTTTAGGATTTAGGATTTAAAGCTTAAGGTTTAGGTCACAGGTAAAGGCCAAGGATAGTACCGCGAAATAAGGATCGCCTGCGACGGCCCTAGACCCTAAACCCTAAACCCTAAATTTGTTCTCGGAGAACTTGGGCCAGTCTGAAGATTGGACTTAGGGACCTTAAGCCCTAAACCCCGAGCCCTAAACCCCAAACCCTTAAACCCTTAAACCCGGAGCCCTATAGCCCCCTTGAGTAGGTAGTCTATGGGGTATATGGGGATCTTATTTTCATATACCGAAAGCCATATTCCATCTACTCAAGGAGGACGAGAAGTCCATGAGTCAAGGATTTCAAGGTTCAAGGCCCAGAGAGTTCAAGAGCTCAGCTCTGAGGCTGTTGCCCTTGCAGTGTGGGTTACTACAGGGGTCTAGATCATATACGGGCCTAAACAGTCCATTTAGGGGGGAATAGGGTATATGGAGGGGCTTTCAAAGGTTCGTTTACGGAGGCTGTAGGGGTATATGTCGGGGGCCTAAACGATCCTTAGGGTTAGGGATAATGGGAAGTAAATGGAAAATTATAGAACATGGAACGGAAACTGGGTTGGGTTTATGGAGAGGATTTTATACGAATGATTATCAATATTGTCGTCCTAGGTTCCTTAAATCATTTTGGTATAGGGTACGCCAAGTAGACTTCCAGACGTTGTTGGTATGTATTCAGGCCCCTTATAAGAATAATTATCAATATTGTGGTGGTAGGTTCCTTGAATCATTCTGGTATATGCTACGCCAAATAGACTTCCAGACGGTTTTGGTATGTATTTAGGCCCCTGTAGGGTAACTTGTTTCCAAGAAAAGTTACGTCAACCGAATCAAGATACGGGAGGTCTTGTGCAAAGAGAGAGTATTAACTCCTGTCTGAGGGAGCGCGAAATCCTGCACTAAAACTTAAACCCTAAAACCCTAAACCTTAAACCCTAAACCCTAAGTCGATCTAGACTTGCCGCTTGTCAGTAGAGCATGGAGGAGTGGATTCCTTTGGTAGCCTATGTACAATCCCCAATCTTACTGGTTCTTAGCAGGTCATTAGGGAATAATGTAAACAGGGGTTACAGTCCCCCTAGAATATGGGGTATATGGGGATCTTATTATGGTTATGGTCAAATCCATTGCCAGGGTTTTTTTCCACTGCATCATTGCATGCGAGCCATCACCAAGGAGACACAGGAGTTGAGTCAACGAACAAGCAGCCAACGGTAAGACGACAACTACTATAGTATATTGGGATTATATAGGGGTAATGGAAAAGAAAATGAAAACTACTATTTGGGTCTAGGGTTATGAAAGAACAGAGGGGCATTTGTGAGCTGGCGCCGGATTCTCCAGAACCAACAACTACGAGTCCATGTGCCGAATAGTTACATTCTTCCCCGCAAACCTATACCCCAGATCTAGACACTAGACCCTGAAGCCCTTGGACCCTTACATAGGGAGATACCCTAAGGGTCAATCATATACTTCCCCAAAACCTGTACTATAATTACTATTACCCAAATCCCAAGTACCCAATTATTGGGTACATGGACCCTCTGGGATAAACCTCAAGGTTTCGAGCGCCAGAAGTGCTCCTCAACATCAAAGAAGGCGCCTCGCCTTTGCTTCAGGCTGAACATACGGATGGTTAGTAGAGAATGAGGGAGTACAATGCCAATACATGATCTCTTCCTTTCGTCCCTGCTAACCCCAATAAGTTGAGGAGCCCTTAATTCAGTTCTTGGCTTGCCCTAAACCCTAAACCCATGAGTGTCATTAAGCAGCACCACACCGATGGTGTATTACTACTCTGCATATGACTGAATGCGATAATTGGGATTCGCACACCACCTTATCTACACCATACTCTAGGTTGCAAAACGAGTTTTGGTGGTCCCCATGATGACATCCATCCACAGTCCTGGATAGAAGCCACACATTTTACAGTCGTCATCTGTCCAGTCCTGTGAGTCTCTGTAGAATTTCCTTGGGAGTCGATTGAAACCGGCCTAGCTCCAAAGTTTCAATTCTACTCCAGAAGCCTTGAACATCCAACCCTACATCTTCAAAAGCCAAACCCAAAGTTCTCAACACCACGTTCCCACCCCGCAAAAAGGCAACAGAGAACACGTTTAAGAAACAACAACCATAGAAGTTCTTGCATAGCACGCAACAAAAACCCAAGTAAGTCCATGACCGCGCAAAACGACCCTAGACCCCAAACCCCCAAACAGGCTGGGGTCCCCCCAGCGATACCTGGACCCTGGGTGTGACAGCTGCGTTCCTTGGCTTTCGCTTGCTAGGTTTTAGGGTGTAGGGTTTATGGCTAATTAGGGGTTGGGACATGAACCAAATACCGAAATACAGGCGTGGGGTGTTGAGTAGAACATGAAGGAGTGGAACAGCGACATGGAATTCAGGGTTTAGGGTGGAGGGAATGGAGAACAAGATGCGGAATTGCTAAAGTTGTTGGACTTGGGACATGGAAGCGGTAATATCGAGAAATAGGGGCTACTATGGAGTTAAATTCTCTATTCCAGCTGATTCAGCTTGAAAATTGATCTTTGTTCTACATGTTGCTAGAGCTTAAAACGGAATCGCAGCCACAATTTCTTCTGGTAACCCAAGAATAAGGATCCAGTAGCAACCGACAAGGTTGTTTCCTCAACCGTTAAACCCGAAGCCCTGAAGCCTCTATTCTTTGTCTTTTCTTTCACTGCCTACTAACAACCCCTAAACCCTAAATCTGAAGTCCTCAACCCTAAGCCCTAAATGCTAAACCCTACGTAACATCTAAATCCCGAAGCCTAAGCCATACCTGGGCCCCAAAAGTAGGTAAAACAATAGCCCAAATCTTTAGAAAAAAACAGCCCAACAGGCAAGTCTTTTACATACTTTTGGCGTCTGGGACCCTAAACCCTAAGCCCTAAACACTAAACCCTAGGCTCTAGCAGCCTGTGAGGTTCCTGGTCTCTGGCCAACTGATTTTCAACTCCCACGAACCCCAGGTCGGTGTAGGGCTTATGGTTTAGGGAGGGTTTTGGAGTTTAGGGTTTTTGGATTTTAGGGTTTAGGATGCACGGGGTTGAGGGTTTAACAGCTTCAGGCTCACTGTTTAGGTTTTATGGGTTGCGTGTTTCATAGTTTGAGGCTGATAGTTTAGGTTTCATTGGTCTAGGGTTTTCAGTTTAAGGCCCATATTGTAGGTTTTATGCGTTGAGGGTTTAGGATTTAGGGTTTCCAGCAACTTATATGGGGATTTATGCAAGAAGGGGTACCCTTAGGGATTGGGGGGGGCATGAGGATTAGGTGGGTCTTCATCAAGGGCGTTTTGGGGTAGAGCTCAGGGTCTGAAAAGAGGGGTGCTCTTGGGGTCTCAGGATATCTCCTGTGAGATCAGGCTTCATACTTAGTATTCAGAAAGTTACTTTTAGCTTGTTTAGAGTCCCTCCCAAAATGGCAATGCTCATACAGGAGTATTCTAAAAGGGATAGAAGAGGATAATACTTATCTGAAGGTGGGTGGTGCCCTAAACTCGAGATTGTAAACCCTCACCCGAAACCTTAAAACCTAAGCCTAAACCCTACACCCTAAACCGCGAGCATGTTTAAGCGCCCACCATGTCCCCAAAAATTGCTTTCCGACCGTTACACGGAGCACGGGCCTCCCAGAGACAGAAGAGCTGACCCGTCTTAAGGGCTCTTAGGTTTAGGGTTTAGGGTTTTAAGGTTTAGGGGTTCAAGGTTTGGGGGTAATGGACAAGAAAATGGAAACTACTGTAGTGTATCGGGGTCATATAGGGATAATGGCTAAGAAAATGGAAGCTACTATTTAGGTTTTGGGTTTTGGGTTTACGGTTTACGATTATGTAGTCCTTTTTTGGAGATGTTATGATTTTTTTGGTCAGGGAGTACAATATACTAGCCAAAAGGGAACTACATAGCCCTAAACTCTAAATCATAAACCCTAAACCCAGGGTCTTAAGTCCAACGATCTCATTTCCTAACCTGAGTGCTATCGAATGTGAACTATGATCTAAACTCCTTAATGGGGGTTATATGGGAGTTATAGAGGGGACTACTATAGGGTATATTAAGGGGATACTAGGAGTCTAGACAGTAGCTCATTTGATTCCCGCACCCCTTACAAACTCCTTTTAAGAAAGAGTTTATTCTCCTTAACGGAGGCTTAGAACAATCCTCCATCCAAAAAAAGCAGAACCCGAAAATCCTGGACCCCAAATCCTGAATCCAAACTCCTGAGCGCTACACCCTCAACGACACATGAGCCATAGTCTAAACTCCAAGTATCCCCTTTAATAACCCCTATACTAGTCCCCTATATATTCCCCTAGACCCTAAACCCTAAACCCTATGAACCCTGTGCTTGGAAGGAGCTTATCAAGCTGATGGCCCAGGCGTTGGGCCCATTTCCCGCAAGGCTGCTGCGCGACGCCCAGGACCCCATAGGGGGGTTTGGGGTTTAGGGTTTAGTGTTTACTCGAGTTTCGTCTATTTTCCGGGGGTTTGTGGGACTGACCTACACTTCCCAAATACCTAGAACCTTTGACTATGTGAATTTGTTGGGGCTGTTGAAGGCTGGCGTTGGGGATTTAGGGGAGGGCTTAGGATTTAGGCTTTGGGGTTGTAGTTTTTGGGAATTCCGCCCCAACCTTAAACCCGAAACTTCGAGGTTTGGATGTCGGTCTGGGCTTTAGGACGCCAGGTTTTGCCCTACAGGGTGGGGCCCCTAAGTTATAGTTTGGCTTGTAAGCAACTTATGCAGGGAACAAGTATATTCATGAGTGACTCTAGTTATGGGACCTATGAGTATACTTACAGTATGTAACTAGGGACCACCATAAACCCTTAACCCGAAACCCTAAACCCTAAGGATTTCGAGTTGAAATCGCGGGTTGGCGGCAACCTACCGCCTACCTTCGTCCAGCTTAACCTTACGCACTGCCGTGGGTGGACAAAGTGCTGCATGCCCCAGTATCATCATAGGTTCCCTCACTTATCCTAAGTTCCGCCTCGACTCTACAAAGCCTAAACCTATTTTGGGCATAACGAGGGCTGATTAAGGGCAAGCCTTGGGGGTGTTGCATGGGGCCGCATGGTATGCCTACCTATAGCCCGTACTACAAGCATCTACGGCGTCGATAAGATCGTAGGCCGCAAACGGAAATCCTAAACACTGCGGTTCAGGGTTAAGGGTTCCCTTCATTTAGGGTTCCCTTCATTGAGCCAGGACTTTCATACTCCCGTAGGTGAGACACGTGCATTTAATCCTAATTTAATCGGAAATCTTAGCGTTTTTTTTTTTGTGTCAAATCGCATGGGAACCGTAGCATAGTTTATTGTTTGTGTCAGTAAGGTATTGCCCAAAGGGTCCATGTAGGTATATGGTATATACTTAGGGCCCAAAGGGGTTCCCATATACCTACTTTAAGGCCCAAGTATATCCCATATTTCGCTACATGGACCCTTCGGGTGTGGAAGTCCTGGAACTGATTATACTACCCTCACGCGGTCAGACGGGAACTTTTTGTTTGTGGGATTCACTGCCTCACTGCGGTTTAGGGCTCCGGGTGGTTTGGGTTTAGGGTTTAGGGTTTAGGGTGGTTTGGGTTTAGGGTTTAGGGTTCAGTAGCCAACTTTCGTTATTGTTTGGGGGAGTGGCTTCTCGAAAGGGTAGGTTCCATAAAAAAGGAGACCTCAATATAGGCCCTAAGACCCCCCCCCCCCCAATAACAACAAATAAACAAAACAACATTCCTAATTTGGGAAACTCCCAAATCCCCCCGCCCCCCCTCTCTCAAGGTCTTGTGGCTCGCATGACCACTTTAAACCTGGTACGGGGCATCATATCTGGAGATCCAAGGCGATTGTAACTATGTTATGAGCACCCCCAGGATTGGGTTCTACAATTCAATTAAAACCGGCCTTGAACTTCTAAGTACCTATAGAACCGCCATTCGGCCCCTGCAGTACGCACCCTCCCAAACAAAGAAGGTCAATCAGCCCTAATAAGGGCTTAGCATGCCATGATCGTCCCCGATGATCCCTGACAAGGCCCTTAGTTTGATAATAGCCCCACCCTGAACCCTGAACCCTAAATCCCTGAAGGGTAGGCTTTTGGAGCTTCATAAGCCGTGTAAGTTCACAGTTCAGGGTTGAGGGTTTAAGCCCTACCTGACCGGACCCCCAGGGTTTAGGGTTTAGAGTATGTAAAATAATGGCCTGCTTGACCAGTTTCAAGGGTTGGGCCAAGTTTTTACCCACTTTGTGCTCAAAATCCTAAGCCCCCAAAAGCACCTAGACAAAACCCTCAACCTTCCTGATGGGCTTACACAAATGAGGAAAATCGCTTGGCAGTCAACAGGACCACTGTAGTCTAGCCATCATGCCCACATGAGGGCGCTCCTTACCTTTGTGGTGTTTAGGATTTAGGACTTAGGGTTTAGGATTTAGGATTTAGGGTTTAGGGTTCAGGGTTGGCCTCGTGAAAGCGGGGTACATACACAGGACCCGAAGCTCTAAACCCTATACAGACCTCCCCATACATCCCCCATCCTGGGTTGCTGTTAAGGAACTTAAATTGAGTTACCATAATGGGTATATATAGTAAATAATTGGGTTTCCCCAATATAGTAACTTAAGGTAAGTTCCTCAACAGCAACCCAGCATCTTGCGGAATGCCGATTTGAGAGGACGGGCGCTTGAGAAGTTTGGCGGAGAAATTTTCCCAGGCCCATGGCTTGAAACAAATGGCTTTAGAGTTGGGGTTCTGCGGCTTCTGCATTGTGGATCTTTTACCAGAAGATTTGTGGTAGTCCTGCACCAGCGGCCTTCAAGTAAAACAAAACAGGCCGTGGAGTTATGAGCTTAGGGCCTGGACCATGTGTGTGTGTGTGTCCTTCCTTTGAGGATGTGTACCCTAAACCCTAAACCCTAAACCCTATCGTTTCATGTTGATGGGGCAACAACTCTCCTATCTGAGTGCCTATATTGTTTGCACAATGTGCCCCCCCCCACGCCAGCAATACCTAGACCCACCATGACCCTAATCCCTAAGCCCTAAACCCCTAAACCAAATAATTCTGAAGCCTACGCACATTCAAACTATCATCGAGTCCTGGAAGCGACTCTATGGAGATTAGTGGCAGGGGGCGCTAAAGGTGGGATGAAGGTAGGTGGGTTAAAGGGACCTTAGTATATACTCAACTATATTGGGGCTTATTCCCTACCCCCCAACCTTCCTTCATCCCACCTTTTGAGCCCTTTCATAGTGTCCACTTCGAATCAAAAGGGGTTTCAGGGTTGCATCTGTGTGCGTTCGTGAGGATAAACCTTAGTTCTCAAGTACTTGAAGCCTAAGCCTGACACTTAAGCCCCAGACCCTAAACTTAAAACCCCAAACCCTAAACTTAAAACCTTAATCCCCAAACCTTTAAACTTCAAACCAAAAACTTAAAACCCCAAACTTTAAACCCTACCCTAAGGCTCTTGGACCCTCAAAGTGGGATCCCAAACCTTAGCCCCCAAAGCCCAAACCTTCCTCCAGAAAGCCCCAAAATAGTCCTAGGAGCCTTAGGGTAGTCCCCAAACCTTAAATCCACACCTTAAACTTAAAACCGTAATCCCAAAAACCTTCAACCCTGAACCCTAAACTTTGCACCCTAAAATCCGATGGCTGGCATCATGGAATCGCAGGATAGCGGCTCAGAACCGCAGCTTGCGAAGTGGTTGGGCTTGGCTCGCCCCTTAGTCTGGGCTTTAGGCTTTGAGGTTTTTAGGGTTTGTGATTTTAGGGGTTTAGGGTTTGAGGTTTTAGGGTTTGATGTTGGGGTTTAGGGTTTCGGATTTTCGAGTTTGTGGTTTTAGGGTTTGTGTTTTATGGTTTGATTGTGGTTTGGGGTTTTAGGGTTTCGGGTTTGGGGTTTAGGGTTTTAGGGCTTGGTTTGGAGGTTTTGGTTTAGGGTGTCTCAGTGAGGGGGCGCGCTGGTGCTAGAAGCACCCAGGCGCGCACCCCAACTTGCAGGAGCCCACCCACTGGCGCTCCACCCTCGCCCCAACCTTTTACGGGTTGTGGGTTCTCTGGAACTCTGATCGCGCTCCTGTCTTCTTATTTGTTTTTTTGCACCTGGTTGCAAGGTTCTGGGGCCTCTGGGGCCCTGGAGGCCCTTCCAGGCCTCGAGTGTTCTACGGTTTTGGGTTTTAGGCATGGGTGTTTAGGGTTTTGGGGTTTGGGGTCTGTGGTTTTAGTTGTTTAGGGTTTAGGGTTTAAGGGTTTTTTCATGGGTTTGGGGGCTTTGGGTGAACGATTTCGCGTTGGCCTCAAAAATGGAGAATGGACGGGAAAGAGCATGGAAATGAAACGGATCGCTTAGGTCCCTTTAAAGGGGTTATTGGGATACGTACTTCGGGAGAAAGAAAGGAGATGAGGATATAGAGAGAACCAGGGCAGTGAAATCGAAACCGGGGATGTGCTGAGGCTCTACGGGGTGTTAAGAAATCTTAGAGTTCAGCGTGATAAGGACGACCCCTTCATACCATCTATCCATATTGTGGTTGCTGCAGTTGAAAGTTCCGTAGGCCCCAAACCCTAAACCCAGTGATTAGCTTCTTTTGTACCCCGGGTTTATGGGTCAGAGTTAAAGGTTGAGGGTTGACGGTTCCGGGTAGAAACCCAGCTGCTCACACGGCGGCATCCTGCCCAATAGTCCCGGCATGAGCTCATACTATCCGCAGCTTAGGAACCTATTGTATATATGTATGATCATAGAATCATATATGTGTACATATATATGTATCAAACCCTGAACCCTAAAGCCTAAACCCTTACAAATGTAAACATGTGTAGGCACTCTCGCCCTGTCGAGTTGGTGAGAAGTGTGAGCATTTGGAGTTGCCCCTTCTACGGTGGATATTGAAATATTGCATGACCCTAAGTACCTTCTACCTTGGGAATTGTGGTCCTATGGTATACTAAGGTCATGCAGGATTTTAGTATTAAAACCCTAAGGGTCCAAGTACCTAATAATCATATACCTACCCAAAACCTATATAATAATTACTATTACTCAAAACCCAAGTCCTTAATTATTGCGTACATGGACCCTAAGCCCTAAACGTTAAACCCTAAACCCTGAACCCTCTATACCCCTATATATATCCCCTTTAAGGGACCTAATTATTGAATAATGGAGCCGTTGGGTACGCTAAAAACCATTTGGACTTTCTGGGACAGTAGGAGTTGTCAAGGTCCTAGTTCTCCTTCGGATGAAGTTTCAATATACTATCAGGGTGTTGGGTTTTGGGGTTTAGGGTTTAGGGTATGGGGCCCTAGTTGCAGAAACCATGGTTTATAGCACTTATAGCTGTAGCTATCCCCATTATATGTTAGGTATAACCCAAAATCTCACTTGGGGGCCCCCACCCTGAATTTGTTTTGAATTTGCATATGAACCCCTTACACCCCCTAAACCCAGTACCTTAAACCCTGGGCCCTCAAAAACAAAACCGCGTTATAGCCTAAGCCTAGAAGCCCACACTCCCTCAAGAAACTTTCCACTTGCATGAGGCCGATAAAGGGCCAGCAGAGGCCGCATGCGCAGATCTCCTCCTGCGCATGCTCGCGTTTGGGGCCCAGAGATTCGGGTTTAGGGTTTAGCTTTTGCGTGAGATAACGGCTTTGTAGAATCAGGGCAAGAAGTGAGAATCAAATGGAAAGGACAGCAGAAATGTAATGGAGACTGTGATGTTGTGTTCGTTGGTAGCGCCTCAGTTCTAAAATTTTATAAGTAGGTAATACCCTAGTCTCTCTTAGTTACTATCATACATTAAACACTCGTGCGTTGCAATACACCTGCCTAGCTGGCTCTTGATTGCTTGGGCTTGCAGCCTTAAGGCCGAAGGAAATGCATGGTAGAAGTTTTGGAGCAATTTGCGTGTTGAAGGACTCAACCAACCAATCAATCAATAAATCCATCAATCAATCAATCAATCAATCAATCAATCAGCTAATGAGAGAATGAATCAATCAACCATTGAATCGATCAATCAATCAAACAAACCACGTGGTCTCTTCCTTTTTGGCAGTCAGGGTTTTTACCGGCGACGACGAGAAAGGAGGGTTTACGGTTGCGGGTTTCAGGGTTTTAGGGTTGAGGGTTGAGGGTTTAGGGTTAACACAAAGAATGTCGGGAATGTCAGAATACGATTCTTTATAGGGCCGGTGTAGAATTCTCAAAGAGGATCCTTTATCGACCTAAAGTAGCCCGGGGGGGGGGTGCGGGAGAGAATACAGGTACCAGTAATAGGGTCATGTAGGGATACTCCGGGATACTGTTGACAATAAAAGTCCCGCAGGGGATTCGCATGCTACAATTAACACCCAACATTTCTAAATGGGACTGTTCGAGCAGCTTTGCGAATATCCACTAGTTACAGGCATCCCGCCTGCACCCTAAAGCCCAGACCCTAAACTCCGGGTAAATTCCGCCCCAAACCCTAAATTCTGAAGTGCCAGTCAGTTTTTGGCCATGAACGGGCAGGTTGCCATGAACCAACCATTTAGAGGGTCACGGGGACTAGGTAAGTGAACGTAAGTTTAGAGCTTTCGGAAACCCAAAACCCTAAACTCGTAAACCGTCCTAAACCCGAAGCTTAGGCTTTAGGACTCAGGGCCTAAATCCTACTATAAACCCTCAACCCTAAGGGTATTTAGGTTTCCCAAAGGATCCATGTAGGTATATGGTATATACTTAGGGCCCAAATGGGTTCCCATATACCTACTTTAAGGCCCAAGTATATCCCATATACCTACATGGACCCTTTGGGTTTATAAGAGGGGTCCCTAAGCGTCGAGCTGTGTGGATGTCTCCGGACATTATGATGGGCGTCTAGGGATTATCTGTATATTCAGCCCCCCCACCCTGAACTACCAAGCCGAAGGTTGCAAGCACCTGGGTTTAGGGTTAGGGTTCAAGGTTTAGGGTTAAGAAACTTACTCGAAACCTGTGCTACAATCTCCAGCACCTAAATCCATGCATGTACTTACTAGGTACATGGGCCCTATATGCCCCCCAGAACTCCTATATATCCTGTATCCCCATATGCCCCTAAAAACCCTTCTACATATCCCTAGAGCAGGGACCCTTAAAGGCTTAAAGGTACATGGACCCGTAGGTCACGGCTTGCTACAGTTGATGCCAAAGGACATTGCATAACCCCAAGTCCAGGGATGTGTTTACGGTTTAGGGTTTAGGGCTTAGTATAACCCCCATAAACCAAAACCTTAAACCCTAAACCCATAAACCCTAACCCTGTGTTGTAGGGTGGAGCAGTACACTTTACCTCGGGAGATATGGTATTCCGAATGCGCAAAGTGGCGGAAATGTTGCACCACTTAAGATTCCCGAAGTCTAAACCCTGAACCCTAGATCCTAAACCCCAAACCCTGAACCCGGAACCCCGAACCCTAAACCCCAAAGCGGCCCTGGGGTAAATAAGGTACAGTCGGTGCTGCAAGATCGCTTCCATTCACATGAAGTTATGCAGGAATTTGAATATCCAGCTCAGGGTCTAGGGTTTGGGGTTTAGGGCATCCACCTTAAGCCCAGAAGCCCCCCCCCCCAAAGGCCGAGCAATGCAGTGTTTACGTAGTATTGTCTATATACCCTAGAGTTGCATAGCCCAGTAACCCTAAACCCCAAACCGCACCTGGGGCCTTGCAAAGGTTAGATCCCAACGATCGGATCTCAGCCGAGGATGCGCTGTGACCTTGCCGATTTGGCTTACCGGTCTCATAGCTTACCCCGAGGCTTCCCGTTACCTAAGTAGTAGGTTACCGGGCTTAGGGTTTAGGGATTAGGGTTCAGGGTTCAGGGTTTGGGGTTACTGGGCTATGTAACTATAGGGTATATGGAACCCAGAACCCATTAGTTAGGTGGATTTCCAGAACCCGCTGAAACTACCTCAGAACTAGCGACTTCGGTAATTTAGGGAATACTCCCTGGTTAATGGGTTTTGGAAAGTCCTGGCTAGTTTTCTTTGAGGGACATAGGATTTGAAAAGGGGCCAGGGAACCTACATGGGCAGAGTGACGCAGATGTAGCTACCAAAGTGCTAGAAAGGAGTCATGATTGGAGGGGGGCGCAGGCAGTGCGGCTTACCTAGGTTTGCGTAGCGTTGTAGATTCGATTAGACGCTTTACACTGACTTGAGGTGTAAGTTTTAGTCGAGGTTTCTAAAGATTATGGGTGTCTATCCGGTGTCCCCCAACAGGAAGAGCCAAGTATACTGCCCCAACAGTGAGTGAAAGTGAGTTCCGATTTTATGGAGTTTCCATTCGAACAGTGGAGCCCGCCAACTGACCTACAAAAGCTATGCTACGCTCGCACAGCGGGTAAACTTTCAGTAGCCGCCCAGCCGACATTCTAGTCGCGTTATGAGTTGGCGGATACTCTTATAAGGTATATGGGGGTACCTTTTTGGGGGTCCCCATAATAAGGATTGTAGTATTTTGGGGTCTACATTGGGGTTCCCATTATTCTGGGAAACTACCACATAGCCAGTGAGTGGTGCTTGTGCATATGGGTGGTAATTTAGTATGCGTAGTCTCTAGTCTATTCCCTTGCAGAAGCCCATGCCCGTGAATTTGTAACCCTAAACCCTAAATAAATGGCAGATATTCACTGTAGCTCTGTGATGCGGCTTTTGTTTGAAGGTGCTTTTGCTCTACGCAAGGCATGTTTCTCAAAACCGACGTGGAAGTCTTCTGTGCTTTTGCATGAGTGTGAGTGCTTCCATGTAGCCAGCGGTTTAGGGTTTAGGGTTTAGGAAACGCTTGGGTTTCAGGGCCCGACAGCCACAAGCTGGTTTTAGACGAGGCGGCACTCATTCATTGCGGACGGTGGTGACGGAGAGAAGGCTCGCTCTCGAATTTCCGTAGTCTGAGGGCAGGCTGGAAAGTTCAAGGAAGGTTGCAGTAGATGATTCAGGGTTTTAGGGCTCAGGGATATAGAGTTCCCCTGAACCCTAATGAAAACCCTAAACCTATGAGCTAGGTAGGGTAGACCCTAAGTTATACGGAGGCAATATCTTATGGTCTGATTTTTCCCGGGCATACCTGGGGCATAAGACAGGGTTGCTTTCTTTGCCCGACTTATTAGACCTGCCGATTAACCTTTCCATGTGGGTGAGCCCAAGGGGTTGCTTTCAAAATTATGGGCCCTTTGGGTGAAACATTCTTATTATGTCATCTAGTGTCATCTAGGCTTAGGGTATAGGGTTTAGGGTTACCCAAGTGGGACCCTAATTTTACTACCCACATGTTCATGCGTCCTGTTGTTGTCAAGGTGCAGTAGTAGCCATACTGGTAATAATAGAGGCATTCCGACCGCTTGTAACCACTGCCACTGAATAGCGGTTATGGTGTTGATTGGCCGCCATGCATGTTAGCAGTAACCAACCACTGCGGTGACTGATGTTTATGAGATGTTGCCTCAACCGTTCCAAGCAAACAAGATAGCACAGAAGTTCTTACAATCGACCCTAAACCTTAAACCCTAGGGTGCTGTCTAGGTACTTCGGAGACACCTTGTATACTGTTTGGGTACTCGGACCCATTGGGTTTGAGTTCTAGGCTTTTAATGATCCGTAGAAACTACCTCAACCCCAAAGGCATGTAGAATAATAGTCCTAAACCCATAATCACAGCCATCAAGGCCATTATGTTACCTCTTGGGGTCCAAAAGTATGTAAAACAATAGCCCCCAAACCCAGAATAACAGCCATAAAGGCCATTATTTTATCTTCTTTTGGGGTCCAGGTATTGCTCGGATCATGACTTTAGTTCTATCTGGCCCCCACCCACTCAAAACACACTGCAGAATTGACAGGGCTCCCGAAACCCAATCTGCAAGCAACGTCCATTTTGCCTGGTTCCGAAGTAAGATTTGAAGGGGGTGGTGTATGTTGTGTTTCCTTTTTCTCATAAAATATTCCTCAACTTGGGCTTTGCAAGTGCAGAATTCTGGCGCAGGCCCCCGTACCGCCAAGGATAGCCCTCACGCGCCCGTCTCCAGGACGGGACAGCATTGAGCTGGGGACCCATTTGGAGTTTTCCTGAATTCATCATACCCAAAGGGTCCATGTAGGTATATGGTACATACTTAGGGCCCAAAGGGCTTCCCATATACCTACTTTAAGGCCCAAGTATATCCCATATACCTGCATGGACCCTTTGGGATAATACGGATCCCTATCATGCGGTTCCTATTGCAACACGGGCGCCTGCACTGAATTTCCCTCATGTTGGGAACAGTAATTTCGGCCAAGTCCAATTTAGGGTTTAGGGTTGCCCCCCAAATCGTAAACCCTATGTTGTAGAGATATGCGGGATTCTTAAGATCGGGAGCATTACCTTAGTACCCTACAAGTCCGTAGGTATCTGGTATATACTTAGAGTCCAAAGGGGTTCCCACATAATTTCTTTAGTCCTCCGGTATCTGTGATATGGCAACATGGACCCTTTCGGGTATGGGAACAAAGATGCTGCATGGTTTAATGTTGGATTCTGATTCGTGTGGGGGGACCCCTTCCCCCAAACAAACACGAGTCCTAATTAATAGACGGGGCGGTACCCCCCAAACAATCCATGGTTGTGCGGTTTTACTTAAAAATTAAATAGGAAGGATCAGGACTGGCTCGGATCCTAGGTTTAGAATCTATAGGATGGATCAGGATCGGCTCGGATCCTAGGGTGACTTATAAATTCAATAGGACGGATGAGGATCGGCTTCGGTAATAGATCAGAAGGGTTTCGGAAGGCATTCAGAAAGGTTTGAGGAGCTCAGAGGATTTCAGTTTTCAGAAACGTTTCAGAAGGTTTTGAGGAGAATTCTAGAAAGGATCCGGTGATTTCAGATCTTGCTTGAAAGCTTTGCTTTTAAATGCTGAGCCTTTAAAAGTAAAAGGTTTTTGCTTTCTGCTCTTTTTAGGGCCCCGCGATTTGAGGGATAATTGAGGGCCCTCAAAACATTCGTATTATTGAGGATCTGGGCAGCTGCTGGACTACCCCTGAGGAAAAATGATTGCTAGGCTTCCTCGAATAAGCGGTCTCATAAGAAATCGATAGTTTTGGACCTGGCTTGGAAACTTGAAATCCGGAGCTTTGAGGTCATCAAAATCCGGAGGTTTGAGGTTGTGGAAGTTCTGGACAAGGGGTGCTAGTCTAAGTAACAAAGGGCAGCTTGGATTAGGACCCTAAAATTACTTACTGCCTGCAGTGTTTTTCGAAGCAAATAAGGTGTATTTATTCTATTGACTTATTCACAGAGTATTTTTTTCAGCCGTGCAGGCGTAATGCAGGGATATCGTGGTTTCATAGGACTCATGGCAATGACGGAGGGTCAAAGGTAAACAGACAAGGTAAACGAAATGGAAACCCCGCACCCTAAGCCCTAAAATAGGTTTTCGAGCTACGCAGAGAACCATGTAATTTCGTATGAGCTACAGTCTAAACTCTTTAAGGTCCGTTATATACAGGATTGGATTATAGTGTGGTTACTAAGGGGGATACTAGGTGTTTTGACAATAGCTCATATAGTCATTTGTAAGCCTTGCGTCGGATAACATCTTAGGTTTAAGGCTCATAACTTACCAGCCTAGCCTAGCGATTCGGTCGTGAGAGCCGTCATGGGTTTGTGGCTACGACGTAAGGCTGCTATCATGGTTTCAGGGTTTACCCGAAGTCCCAAAAGTAGGTAAGATACCGTAGCCCAAAAAGCCTTTTTTTGACAGGGGTTCAGGGTAGGGCTATGGCTCCTGAGGAACATTGGTTCGTGTATATAGATTTGGTGTCCAGCTGGGTAGACCTTAAATTGGTTTAGGTTTTAGAGTTTAGGTTTCACCTTAAATTGAAACCATGGGTCAGCTGACGATGCTTCGTCTTTCTAGGATGTTGTGGATGTCATCTGGATCCCCTTCCCCTGATATGTGTACCCAAAATTGAAGGGCCCAAGTACACAACAGATAAGGAGGTCATGTACAGCTATAATTACTTCGGGGCCGAAGTATATATTATAGCAAACGTTGGATAATGATCAGAAGGAATGTATATGGAGAGTCCTTACTGTCAACCCTACGCTAGACTGTTAATGGGTGTGAGCAGTACCCAACCTAAATCCTAAACCCTATAAACCATGACCCAACCTTGGGATGTGCAGGCGGTAGATGATCCTCGTTCTCCAAACCTGAGGTTGCTCAAAGAAGCAGCCGCTTGTGCTTAGAGAGGGCTTGGAATTCAGAGTCTAAGACCTACCCCCAAATCGCATAAACCCTTGTGTTTAGGGCTTGGGCTTGGAATTCAGGGTCTAAGTCATAAACCGCCTAAAGCGCCGAAACCGCTGGATTCTTCGTCTTGGGTTTCAGTGAAGAAGCAGCAATGTAGTTTGTAAGGGCAACTGTCTTGCTAACTGAATAATTAGCGATATTGTGGTCCCGGGTTCCTTGTATAACTATAGTATAGAGCAGCTCAAACAAACATCAAAGGATATGGGTAAATATTCAAGCTTTTTGTCTTATCCTTTTTTCATGGCATGGATATACGGCTGACAGCGATTGTAGTACGTTTTGCGTCTAGCACTGTGCATGATGCTGGGGGTGATCAATGGTAGAGCGCAAGACCGCAGCGGATTCATAGTAAGCGCAAAACTGCTATACGCTGCAAAAGTACTGGCTGGGGCAGAGGTTTAGAGCTTGGGCTTTGGGGCTTATGGCGTCTGTTGAGCGTTTGGGGTACTTACATAGTTCCACCAGCAAGGTGACAATAACCATATCAACAAAACCATGCGACTCGCAGAGAATGTCAACAATCCTGGTGCAGGTTACCTACAATGCCTCTTAATCGCGCAAACCATGATGCGACAAGCCCAGTTCTCACGTCACTTTGCTTGTTTTCCCCATTCGATCCTCCTTCACGCTAGCCGAACCCAAACCCTAAACCTGTAAATTCTACACCCTAAACCCCCAAATAATCCGCTACAGTCAAAAACCCAAAAGTTGGAGCAAGGGAATCAGATGATTCATGCCGCTTTTCCATCTTCTGAGGAAAGGTTTAGGATTTAGGGTTAGGGTTTAGGGTTTAGGGGTTTGAGGCTTAGGGTTTTGGGGGGATTCTCATGTTCCAGTTTTCTGGCCTCGGTTTAGGCTGTAGGGTCCAGGGTGTAGGGTAATTCATCAAAGCCACAAGGGCAGATATCCTTGGCGGGAAAGATAAGATCAGGGTCCTTGAGTCTGCTTCTAGACTAGTACAACTATTCTCATCCAGACTGACTCCTCCCGAAGTAGGTAACAGCATTGAGGATATCCGCCACGAATGGTCCTTGAAAAAAGTGATAGCGATTGTAGTTTGGCTTTGCTTGTCGCGTGTTTGATGCCCTTTGGTGGGGGACTTCTTCCTAAACCCCAAAAGCATGTAAAATAATAGCCTTCAACCCATAATAACAGCCATAAAGGCAATCATTTTACCTAGTTTTGGGGTCCAGGTGGAACTGAGGGCTTTCTTCTAAGGTTCCTCATGCTCAGGGCCCTTCTGGGATTAGCCCGAGGCACCTGCATGTGAGCAATAATCAAAACTCCTTAATTGGGGTTATATAGGGGGCTACTATAGGGGTTATTAACTGGGCTGGGAGTTTAGACCCTAAACCCTAAACCGTTAACCCTATGAACCCTAGACCCTAGGGTTATTAAGGGGGATAGCAGGAGCTAAGACCTTAAGCCTAAACCTTAAACTCTAGGGTTATTAAGGGGGATACTAGGAGGTTAGACCCTGAGGGGGATACACGGAGTTTAGACAAAAGCTCATGTTGTCAAGTACTTCATGTTGCGCATCTGGTTTTAGCATGAAGAAAACCCTAAACCCTTCTCTTTGATTATTTAGGAACCTAGCTATAGTTAGGGCTTGGGGTTAAAGACCACAAATAGGCCATATGAAGAAAAGGATCTAACATGAAGGATAAGCGGTCCTATGAGGGGTTGGATCTACAGACCTTTACTGTGGGGATCTTTCTATCCATGTGGTCTCTGAGTTTGTTCGTGAAGGCCCTAAGAGCCTGAGCCCGAGACCTCCGCCTTTGCTCGCTTTGCACAGTGCTGACAAAGGCGTTATGCTGTTCCAACAACCCAGTGTACCTGAACTCCAAAAGTATGTAACATAGTGGCATTTTGGACTAAATTTCTGGGTTTGGGGTTATGATGCTTTAGCTACTTTCGGTTACTTTAGGCATTTCTGACTAGGAAAGTGGATCTCATTTTGCAAGATTCGGACTTTTTGGTGGGGTCTTCTATAGCACCCACTACATTGCGTGGTATGCTTCACTCGGCGTAGAACTCGATCGTAAACTCCCATCACCATAGTGCTTTTTTCATGAGGAACTTCTTACCTTCAATAGTTTTTACGAGGAGCCTCGTATTCTGAGGGCGTCGGCCGGACTTAGCTGGAATTTTGACATGGTAGTGCTTCGCTCTGTACACTGGGACAGGAGCAAGTTAGAGCTTCCTGCCCGAGGTATTGGCTTCTGCAATGACTCTAAGGGTCCAAGTACCCAACAATCATATACTTACCCAAAACCTTTTTGACAATTACTGTTACCCAAACCCTAAACCCTAAACCCTCAAACCCACGCAGATCTAATTATTGGGTACTTTGAACCCCTAAATTAAGCTGTTGAGATTGTGCCCTAGAAGCAATGCTGCAAAGCCGCAATCACTAAACGCTGAGCTGAGTACCTATATGGGGGTTTCCTAAAATTGGGGGTACCATTTGGGGGGTCCCCATACTAAGGACTATACTATATTGGGGTCTATATTGGGGGGTACCCTAACTTTGGGAAGCTACTTATATCTATGTATACGCACTTACCTACGTATATACATAGGGACATAAAATTCAGGGTGTAGGCCCTAAACTCTTTAGGGTTTGGGGAGCCGAAGGCCCAAGACCCACAAGGTTTCGGCCTCCAAAGCTCAGATCGGAGAACTGCAAATTTGCCGGCTTTAGGGTTAAGGGTTTAGGGCTAGGGGTTTAGGGTTTAGGGTTGTGAGTTTCTCAAGTGAGGGGAGGCTAAAGGGTTCCGGGCTTAGAGTCTAGGGTTGAAGTTGTTTTTTCTCAAGTGGGGGGAGGGTTCAGGGTTCCGGGCTTAGAGTTTAGGCTGTAGGGGTGTCAAGATCTAATCAGGGGAGTAGGCGGTCTGGATCAAAGAGTTTTTAATCTCAGAAATTCCCATCTAGGCCCTTACGGTACCGGTACCCTGCCTGAACCCTGAGGATTATTTACCCACAATTGCTCGTTTGGCTGTTAGCTCCACTCTGAACATGTCGATGGGACTTCCCAGCATGTTTGAAGCATCGCCCATGGATGTGGTTTAGGGTTTAGGGTTTAGAGCTCCTGCAACCGGAGTGCTTTGATAATTGCAAATTGACGTTGACTCGATCCACCGACCCTAGAGGCAAACTCCCTCTAAAAGGGATAATGGAAAAGAACATGGAAACTACTATATAGTAGTTTTGGGGTCTATATAGGGAGAATGGAAAAGAAAATGGAAACTACTTTTTGGTAGTTTTGGGGGTTATATAGGGATTATGGAAAAGAAAATGGAAACTACTATACTGTATTAGGTGTGGCGTTGCCTGCATATCCGTTAAACATGCCCTTTTTTGGTCAGTCTGGTAATGTGTTGACGATGCGGGTGGTAGTTCCCACAGAGCCTGCACGCTGTTTGTGTGCCGACATTGCTCAAGAGCTTTGGCAACATGCCACACTGTACAGCTAGGTCCAGATGCTTTACCACGGGAAAGCTACCGATGAAGGCACGCAAGCGACAGTTCGCCAGCCGTCTTACTCCGTCCGTTGGGAACAGTCGGTGGCGCGTTCAGGAGTGTCCTCTGGCTTCCGCTCAGAATCTTCGCTGATACGCGCCGAGCTTTCCCGCGCCTCCAGCGTCCATGATTCTGGGTTGCTGTTAAGGAACTTAAATTTCACATAGAATTAATCTGGTTTCCCAAATATAGTAACTTAAGTTAAGTTCCTTAACAGCAGCCCAGGATTTGCTTGTTGATCTGGAGCCAGAGCTCGTGCGTGGAGTGCCCATTCATTTCTGCCTCAGGCGCTTTGGGGGGCTATATTGGGGCAATACTAGTGTTATATTCGGGTAATATTGGGATAATGGAAAATAAAATGGAAACTACTATAGTATAATTGCCCATTCATCTCTACGTCAGGCGCTTTGGAAGGGAATGGAGACAAGTGGCGAGTCCTGAAGCACTGAAGTGGAGGCCACATTTGTCCAGGCGAACTCAAAGGTACCAGTATTTTTTCAGTCATGACTGGGGAACGTCCGGCTTGTTGAAATACCTTTCCTTGCTGGTGTTCTTCAATGGTTGGCCGGCAGCCGTCGTCTCCCTTGCAATGAGCGTCTTGATTACAGTGCTCAAGGTGACGTTCATGCCTGAGTACTTGGCCAACTTGTCATGGTTCTGGCCTGTTGTTCAGCATGCCTTGGCAATGCTACCGGGATGTTCTTGCAATGTTTTCGTATGATATATTGAGTTTGCCTTCTTATTCAACAGCCAGAGTTGAAGTGTCTATAAAGGATTGCACGATACACCCTAAGCCCTAAATCCCTAGCTAAACCATAAACCGGCCAGAGGCTAGTTCTCTTCTTCTGGCAGCACGTAACGGCCGCCTTGGGTTCAACCCGGCTGGCTTTCCTAGATCGCCTTTGTATACCACAGCATGATGAGGACATACCTAAATAATGGGTTCTGGGTTTAGGGTTTAAGGTTGAGGGTTTAGGGCTAAGGGTTTCCGACTATTTAGGTAACTGGGAGTCCTACCCGGACCCCAAAAGTAGGTAAAGTAATTGCCTTTATGGCTATTATTATGGGTTTAGGGCTATTATTTTACATAGTTTTGGGGTTTAGGTAGGGTACCAGAGCATGATGAGGAACCCTAAACCCTAAACCCTAAAAGGAGATCAAGCACCGATGCATTTACGCATTGGCTTCCTTTCTCAGTCATTCCGACAACCTTGTGGTGCTCTGGTCGCCGCGGTACTGCACGCGGCTTTGGTGCCTTACTTAGCCAATAGAAGTACTTTAACCTTTTTTCGGCTTCCTTTTTGGATCTATATAATGAAGTTTAAACTTTTTTTAGCCCTGCTTATTGGGGAAGAGAGG